TGTGGCCATAGTCATCATGCTACTGAAATATATGACTGCTTGATAAATGCTAATTGACAGACAAAAAGAGGAAGTCACCACTCACCAAAATAAAACGGGCTAAGTCCTGTAAATATCACAAACTTTCATGGAGGTTGTGTTGTCGGACCCTGAACTCTCTTTCCCAATCATTTTAACAAACAGCGGCGCCCCCCTACGCCAGTATAACAGGTCGCGTGATTTGCACCACGCAACACTGACATTTCGGACCGGTCGACAGGTGACATTGCTGAAGACAGGGTCGGGTCTGCTGTAGGCGTAGCGGCTATCCCCTCCCCCGCCCCCTGTCCTGCTCACTGACTCCTTGACAACTCTTAGCGACCATGGGTGGACTTTGCTGCGCACGTCGATCGACTAGCTGCAGCTGCTCGATGCCGCTGTAAGCGTGGTTGGATTACACTACCAGCTCAAACAGACCTAAGACAGGTCTGATTTTCGCTTTCGCTGATAAATCGACTCGCTGACTTCACTTAGACGCGTCATTATAAAAACAAAGGATAAAACGTCATTCTCAAGCATCGCCGTGTCACAAGTCGGAGCGCAGTGCCCTAATTCGATAGCATTGCGCGCTCATGTTCCATTGAAAGAGCGGCGCACGTGGGTCAGCCCCAAACCCGTTAGCAATGCTACGCCGGAATATAAGTGTACGGTGATGACACATCTACAACATCGCGACAACATGGGCCATCATCGCGACACATGACAACATCGCGCCTGAAGGGAGCTTTGGGGGGTAGTATGAGTGGGTTGGGGGTTGCACTTCTTAGTTTTGGGCACAGGCTGTGGAATGGGACTAAGATGGCTTTGGAAGTGGGGTTAATTTCAGTCGGGAGGAGCAGTTTGATACAATAGGGCAGAGGTGCGTGTTGACGCATCATTGACACACTTATGAATGACGCCTTGGGGATCTTAGCCCGAATAAGGTGTCTGATACCGCTACAACCCCATCATTTTTTTTAAAAACATGTTGAAGGACCCATGAACAGTGCAACACTCCTACGTGCTGTAGAAGATTCGCAGCCTTACCGATGTCTGTCCTGAACTCCGCGAGAATCCCGGTGTTGAACAACCAATCCAGTGTAAGTCCAAATCACGTCATCCAGTGTCGAAAGGCATATGGTACAATATAATATACGATATGCCCGGTCATATGAGATCTCTCACAAGAGAAGCTTGTAGAACTACATATCATCTGCAATCGGTTCCATCCTTACATCATGGTTGATTCCTAAAAAATTACGTTGACGCACCCTGAAAAGAATCGCGCACTTCCAATTGCCGCTCACACGAGCAACTGCAGAAGCTATATGAGTCAAAAGCGCGGAGACCTTATTTTTGTGGAGTCAAGAGGCAGAAAACACCATCTCTTAGCGTGTCAATAATGCGTCAACACCTGCATACCTGGCCGGAATCAGCCCTGAGGTTACTGAGCAAAGGACTAAAGTTCGCCAACAGTTTGTCATCAGTGTGTCATCAGTTATCATCTGGCCATCAGACAAGCTACCAGCGCGAAGTCCCTGCACGACGCTGCACGACGCTTAAGTTGGAATAGGAAACTGGCGCATTTATAAACATGTAAGGTGGCCGAAACTTCCCCGTCATCTTCAGCCGTTGCAACATATATCAGTCCACCTTTAAGGGCTATAACACTACAGACTGTGACTCGGCTGCACCCATGACCCCGGCTTCAATACTATCGGCAGCGCATCAGCCCGGTCACCCATTCAGAGAGATCAAGCTAGAGCTTGGTAACTGGCAGTCCTTTGGTTGGATCATCCGCATGCTCGTTTTACTCAACACTCCACCGTATCAGTGTGCAGATGTGGGGGCCGATTGCCGGCAGGACCTGTCTTCGTGTCGTGCCGACGCTCGGAAGCGGAAAGGCGAGTGTTTTTCGTCAGTCAACCCCCCCCCCCCCCCTCGGCGGCTGATTGACCGTAGCCGCTGTAGCGAAATTATCAGTACATCCGCATTCACATTGATTTTGCTATTATTTACATTTGGCCCATTGAAAGAACACCAGTGGAACTGCTTAATAAAAGCTGCCAACACATTTGTAGCCTAAGACTACACATATAGACGGCTGCTTTCGAGTATGTGTAAAATGGCCTCGACGCCGATACGGCCTTCAACTCAAACTCACCACTAAGAGCTCAATCTTGCATGCTGATGAGTGAAGCATTATTTTTAATTTTCGTTCTTGATAGGAGTGGATGACACCCCCATGAAGCCTGGTCACCGAGAGAGAAGGGAAGCCAGCTCGCCCGACTCCGTACTGTTTTAGAGACGTCCCTAAGTGCCGTCAACAATGAGTGCGCACCGCGCTCATAGAAAAACGGCCATGCGTTGACACAAGCTAACGTATGAAGTACCCGCAGCAGCAGCCAATGAGACTTCAGCAGTATGAGTCACGTACTATCTATGTTTGCAGAATGGAACAATTGCTTAAGGTTACGCTGTTTATTACGATTACATGCTGTGAGGTACATTATCACTTTGGAATCCGTTTCGCATAATACAGTTTCAAAACCCGCTTGACCAGCCATTCAACAGGCTGATGACCTCTGGGCTGGCTCCGCCCTACCGGGCCGTCCCCAGCAGGACGAGCCACAGCTCCACACGGCCGCCCTACCGGGCCGTCCCCAGCAGGACGAGCCACAGCTCCACACGGCCGCCCTACAGGGCCGCCTACAGCAGGACGGGGGCCACAGCTCCACACGGCCGCCCAGCAGGGTCGTCCCCAGCAGGACGCGGGCCACAGCTCCACGCGGCCCCCTATAGGGCCGCCCACAGCAGGACGTGGGCCACAGCTCCATACCGCCGCCCAGTAGGGCTGTCCACAGGAGGACGGGGGCCACAGCTCCACACGGCCGCCCACAGCAGGACGGGGGCCACAGCTCCATACCGTCGCCCAGCAGGGCCGTCCACAGCAGGGCCGTCCATAGCGGGACGCGGGCCACAGCTCCACGCGGCCCCCTATAGGGCCGCCCACAGCAGGACGTGGGCCACAGCTCCATACCGCCGCCCAGCAGGGCCGTCCACAGCAGGACGCGGGCCACAGCCCCCCACGGCCGCCCTACAGGGCCGTCCACAGCAGGACGCGGGCCACAGCCCCCCACGGCCGCCCTACAGGGCCGTCCACAGCAGGACGCGGGCCACAGCCCCCCCACGGCCGCCCTACAGGGCCGTCCACGGCAGGACGCGGGCCACAGCCCCCCACGGCCGCCCTGCAGGGCCGTCCGCAGCAGGACGCGGGCCACAGCCCCCCCACGGCCGCCCTACAGGGCCGTCCACAGCAGGACGCGGGCCACAGCCCCCCACGGCCGCCCTACAGGGCCGTCCACGGCAGGACGCGGGCCACAGCCCCCCACGGCCGCCCTACAGGGCCGTCCACAGCAGGACGCGGGCCACAGCTCCACGCGGCTGCTCAGCAGGGCCGTCCACGGCAGGACGCGGGCCACAGCCCCCCACGGCCGCCCTACAGGGCCGTCCACAGCAGGACGCGGGCCACAGCTCCACGCGGCTGCTCAGCAGGGCCACGTTCAAAGGGACGGCAGCCAGAGGGCATGGCCACAGAACCCAAACTCGAGCACCTGGCTACGGACACCACACTCGCAAGATAATTGAAAGACGAGTTACACGCAGAGCAGAGGCGAATGGTGGCCGTAACAGTGCACCGAGGCGTCAGGTCGACACAAATTACCTGACCGGAGTTGGCGCAAACACGACGTTCATAAAACGAGTAAATACGGTGGGATTTCTGCCCATATCGCACTGCCGCTAGTTCTGTCACACGGCAGCGACAGCTGCAAATATACCCACTGGAGCGAAATAAATGAGCGCCGCTAGGCTTAGCACTGAGGATTACAGGTCTGCAGCTGGAGTCACTGCTACTAATCACTAAAATCGCTACGCAGCTTCACATCTAAGCAGCTTTAACGTTTGCAGTGCAGCCTTGGCCACTTAAACCACGGTCATTTCAAACGGACTACAACCCTAAGATAAGGCTCAGTATACATAAAGTATGGGATAAAAGCTGATAATGACGCTAAGCTAGAACACACAACTGTCGTGTTCGCTCGCCGCATGAATACTCACAGGAACTCTGACAAACGCTGGCTGGGGCTCACCGCTTTAACGTGCACTGGTGACACTGCCCAATCAGGCCGCCCGCACACGGTCGAGCTCTTTAAAACGCCAGCGAACACGCCATGCTGGCATGACGCGGTAGACGGCACAGCAGCTTCATGGCACGTGTCCGTGCACCTTTACACAAACGGCGCGACTACGTTAATGGCTTGGTCCGTGACAAGACGTCCGCCAAACACGTTGCTGTACCTCACGACCGCGCCGTTCATGCCGCAGATGACACGTGACTCATGCCGTCCGAAGTGGGACATCTCCGGACGCAGTACAAGGTGACCAATTCCATGGGTGGTCGTCCCGTCATTGGACAAACACACCCCGATTTGGGTTCGGGCGCAGCGTCGACAGCCTCACCGCTGAGCGGATCCCCGCCAAGCCGAGACGCCGTGACACGCAATACCACCTACCGCCTGACGCGGCGGCCAGCGCTCTGCGGCCGGTCACGTAACCCGTTCAGCGGTCTCGCTCTGTACGGCCAGGCCCGCCGTGCGGTGTGCCGGGGCTCCGTCTCTGGCCCGCTCCCGCGCTACACCAGCGCGGCGGAGCCGGCCGCGGCACCGCGCTCCTCCCCGTCCGATGTGAGCTCCCCGTCCGACGGCATGGCGATGGCCTGGTCACCACCGGCCGCCGCCGCCTCCGCTCCGTCCGGCGACGCCGCGGCGGCGGCGCCCGCTCCCAGCACGCCGCCGCCCACCTGGAAGACGGCCGGCGCCGGCGGCGGCGGCGGCGCGGCGGCCTCCAGGCCGAGCCGGTGCCGGGCGCGCGCCTCCAGCCGCTCGGCCAGCAGGTGGCGGCAGACGCCGAAGAGCGGCTGGGCGGCGGTGGCCGGCGGTCGGGGCCGCCTCACCGGCAGCCGGTGCACGGCGCGCCGCCAGATGGGACCGCCGGCGCGGTAGCGGGCCAGGTCCTTACGCGTCACCATGCCGATCACCTGCCGCATAGGGCAGAGTTCGAGTCAGCGGCGCAGTCGGACTTCCCGGCGGCCGCCGGGGCAACACACGCGGTAAGGTGACCACCAGATCACCGAAGAGCGCGCGCGGGTGTGGCGTGCGCTGGAGTGCTCCCGTGCACGTCCAAATGCGCCTGTAAACGCACGCCCTGCACCCGTGCGGGATGATGTTTAAGTTCACGGTCATCTGGGACCTCATGAATGATCCTCACTGTGACCATCGTGATCACTAACGATCCTTCCGACACTGGACCGTGTCACATGCTAGAGCACGTTTTCATGACAGCGGTGCACCCCAGACCAGCGAAGGCTCCACACAATCGCCACTGTCGGAGTGTTACTTTCCGCCCCCCCCCCCCCCCCGCCCACTGCGCATCAGCCGCCTCGGCCGGCCGCACAGCTGGCTCCGCTCCGCACAACCGGCCCACCGGCCGGCCGCTCCTGCTGGTCACCTGGTTCGAGTTGTTCACCACCACCATGTGGCGGAGCAGCTGGGCGCGAAACACCGCGTAGACGCGCGGCAGGTTAGCCGACTGCAGCACCACCGTGCAGCCGGGGTTCATGTAGTGCGCCAGGTCGACGTGCATGCGCCGCTCGTCAGCCGACAGGTGTACCTCCTGACGGGACAGCGGCAGCGTTAGCACCGACACACACCGGCCGACAGGCGTACCTCCCGACGGGATAGCGGCAGCGTCAGTACCGGTGCACACCGGCCGACAGGTGTACCTCCTGACGAGAAGCCTACCACTGCCACTCCTCCGCGCCGGCCTGCCACTGCCCTTCCACGACGCAGGTAGCCGCTGTGGCCAACAGCATTGCCACCTCACTCCAATGAAGAGGATAGCCTAACACTAGAGAAATAGAAATCTTCCGCCTTGACCCCGCGGCCTAGGTCACACATTCTGCTCTGGGGCTACTCACGCCTCAGTCAAATTTGGGCTTTAGCCGTTGACTGTTTCAACTTTAGCCGGTTTCATAATTCGAACCTTGGATAGAGAAGCCTACACGCTAATGGCACTTGGTGTATAGTGTTCCAACATAACTTGCGTTTAGATTACGATGCATGTGAGATACGCATCGTCCTTTGTTTCCTATTTGGTCCCGAGGTCGTAAAGGTAATTATTTCTGAATCTTGCACGACCCTGGTCCAGAATAAGCGACGAAGCGAGCTATGCGTATCTTTTCGACCTCATTTCCTTAATATGACCGAAGTCCGTCCAATGTACCTTATAATCACATACAGTGTGCAAACAATCGGTCTAACAACGCACGCCCAATTTAGCAGTATCATCATAGTATAACACTCAAATAGTCAGTTCCTATAACGGGCATAGTGGATAAACTCGAGCTTGGAGATATTCCATCTCTTTGACATAGCCCAGGTGCCAAGAAACCTTCCATGGCTTTACATCCATCAGAGATGATACGCGAGACAAGACCCCATGACACCCGCCATGAGTGCCTACCCTCCACGTCGTAACCCAGACGGCTCCAACTCCCTCACCTCTCCGACCTGGTCCGGGTGGGCCGACTGGTCTCTACGTCAGACAGACGCGGCGCCGGCGAACGCTAGGAGCCGGACAGACCACCAGAGCCCCTCACCGTGTGCGACGGATAGCGCGGGTAATCTTCGTTGTAGAGCACGGCGCCCCTGCTGCGCACCTCTTCCAGGTACACCTTGTGCTTGAGGATCTCGACGAGCTGGGAGCGCAGGATGAGGCCGCGGTACCGGCCGTGGTGGGCGCAGCGCCCGTGCACGGCGCGCGCCGCCCGCTCCGGCGCCGGGCTCGCCTCCTGGTCCGAGCAGTCGGAGTGGCACGGCTCCAGCGGCGGCGGCGCCTCGTCGCTCTCCTCCTGCCGGAGCGGCACACGGCACATTTCACCGCAGTCTGCTACGCCAAGTGAAGCATGGATAGGACGTTGAGCAGCCCAATGACCGCCGGCAACATGCACCCTGATGAATGACATGGCGTCCGTGTTCACCCTGCAGGTTAACACAAGAGAGCAACTTTTGTAGCCTACAGGTCACAACAGGCCAATGCCCAGCATTCCCCTCCCCCAGCCCAGAGTCCGCCTGCTGGAGCCGGTGCTGGGCAGCGACGCCTCGCTAGGCCTGGCCGGACCGGGGATCGGGCGCTGACCATACTCAGCTCGCTCCGGCGCCCCCCTTCGTCGTGTCCCGTTCACTCACACCGGGCGCCGGCGGGTCCACCACCGGGAAGCCGTTGTGCGCGCACGAGTCGAGCAGATCGTAGATGGCGCCGGCCGTCTCGCAGGTGTGCACGCAGCGGACGGGGGCGGCCATCACCTGGCAGCCGGCGCACAGAGTGAGAATCCAGCGCCGGCGGCCGCCGCAGACCGTGCGGAGCCTGACCTCCGTCAGAGCACACTACGCACACACAGTCGGCGCCGGCAGCCGCTGCAGCCCGACCACTGACCATGGGTCAGCGTGATGGTGGCGGATTCAGATACCGCCTGGAAGCCCTCCTGAGGGCCAGTGTGCTCGCGCACCAGGAGAACGGCGCACCGTCCCATGATAATGCAGCTCAGCAGGACTCGTACAGTGTTTGGAACATATGCGGCAAGGTTCCGGCCGACCCCGGACAGGCCAAGACACGTCCTTCGGTCTGGAGACCGAGCGGCCGACCCCGGACAGACCGGGACACGTCCTTCGGACCGGGGACCGAGCGGCCGAGCCCGGACAGACCGGGACACTCCCTGCAGCCCGCCACACTCACGTCTGTGACGAGCACGTGCTCGCTCTCGGGTGGCGGCCGCCAGCTCAGCAGCGGGATGCCGTCCAGCTCGATATGCGCGTCGTACAGACTCTGAAACGGGCCGCCGTCAGCCGTCAGAGGTCCACGGGATCCCGTGCAGCATCAACGCAGTGGATATTCCGATTAGTCTCACGATGTCAGAATGGGCGGTCACGGCTTCAGACCACGATCGGCTGTGGCGCTCACCTCATTAAAACAGTCGGCGACGTATTTGGAGATGATGAGGACGAACATGAGCACGGGCCCGAAGCTGATGACGCCGGCCGCCTCCACGATGATGAAGGTGAGCGAGATGGCCATCCTCACCACACCTCCCAGCATGGCTGCCGCGCCGAACAGGGCAAACTTGCCCGGGTCCACCCAATCCTGCGCCCGGCCGGTCACGATCACGTCAAGTCGCCAACGCCCGGGTCAGCACAGCCCTGTACCAGTCCTCTACGCTCGCGGCGTGTCCGTCCCGCTCGCGCGCGCGGCGTGTGTGTGGGCTCTGCCTGCGTCTGACGGCATGAAACAGAGTGCTGGCAGGGCAGCCCAGCGATTCAGTAAACCCGCTGAAATCGTGAGCTTAGTAAAGCATTCCGCGCTGGAACCGAGCATCGCAAAATGATCGCAACGTCCAGCACTGTTCTTAATGACGTCCAACCTATGAACGGCTCGCGACCTTCCGGCAGCCGACTCCTACGGACATCAGCACCCCGCATCAGAAGACGCAGGCGGCGCGAGAAGAGCCGCCGGCCGCGGCGCACCAGCGGCCATCACGCACCGCCTCCGGCAGGTAGGTCAACAGGAGGACGGCGAAGAAGCGGCCGAAGGCGGCGCCCGCCACCAGCGACGGGATGAACACGCCGCTGGGCACCGGCAGGCCGTACGTCCACAGCGTGAACACGTAGTAGTAAACGGCGAACAGGCCCATCGGCAGCACGTGGTAGGTGCCTGCGGCGAGGACGGCAGTGATTTTTTTCATTTGGAGCGCCAGCGACTGCGCTGGTCATAACAGCGCGCAGGAGCCATGGCACAACCGGGATTCGAACCCGGGACCCCACGTAGGAGTCCAATGTGCTGACTACTGGGCTATCGCACCCCGGAGGGGCGGGGGACGTCAACGGCACGTCTTGCTATCCCACTGCACGTGCGACGTCTTCGCCACGCGCATGGAAAACATCTGGCAACATCCAATGTTCAGCTTCGAGACAAAACAGTGTGTCTTGAAGTTCCTTTTCTCCTCTAAAACTTCTTTGAAAATACAAAGCCTTAAGAATCATGACTCTGGGCGTCTACCAGAGACGTGTTTATTTCTATCATTACATATGGCGAATACGAACTAATGGGGAGCGTTAGTGTTAACAGCCCGAAAGGTCAAATACGAAGTGCAGAAAAGGCAAGGCTGCCAGCCATCCCAACCGTCGCTAACAAGCATAAAGCTCTTTCCCGTTTAACTGACACGACACACTGCGTGGCGTCCCCGCCGCCGGCGCGTCGCCCACCTAGCGAGCCGTCCGTGCCGGCACCACAGAGGGCGCTGCCGGCGGTGGCAGCGCTGGCGGCAGCGGCCGGCTCGCTCACCGGGCTTGCAGTGGAGCAGGCTGCGCAGGCTGGCCTCGGGCGTCTGCAGCAGCAGGTCCGTCATGCCCAGCACGTCCGGCGTCAGGCGACACTGCCGGCCACAGAAGGCTGTCCACCACGGACCCCGGGCATAGCTCTTCAATGACTTACGACACAGGCTCCGCCAACCGAGGCGGCGCGTCACAGATACACGCCAATGGGGAACGCCTTTGGTCACAAATGTGGACACAAGTCGAATCAGCGCACCCCATCCCATGGAGATGTAAAGCGCGCAGGAATGACGCACTTGAATATTATTCCAACAGCAGTTGTTGGCGTATGATCTGAAATTGGATACGTCATTACCCATCCCACTTTCCACATGAGATCGAGACCTGCCCGCTGGCCGGACATGCAAGACCATCACAAGCGCATCAACTGTTGCTACGCGTTATCATGCCAGCATCGACGACCTGCCTGTAAAGGAAGGCAGTTGCCTCGCCTCTCGACCGAAAAGTCAAATTCAAATGTGGCTGGCGGCAGAAGCCCAGTCTTTAAGGACTGAGCTTCCAATGGCTTATGAAGAATGGGTCTCGGGCCACTGCAGCGTGCCAGCTAGTCAGACGGCATGGCGCGCGCAAGCCAGTCAGAGCACGGAAGGAGAGCCCCTAGCTGACGAGACTGCTCCTTACAGCAGTGTCGTCGGTTGTAGGGGTCTCCCACCTCGCGCATGCCGTACCGTTTAGCGTTCTGCCTCGATAAGCTGCCGCCAAACGTGCAAAGTTAGCCCTCATGAAGCCCAAGCAAGCTAACCATCAGACTCCTCACCCCCCCCCCCCCCCCCCCCCCCTCCTCCCCATACGCCCCTGATTCACGACCACCCCCCCCCCCGCACCACAGATGTGGGCGTCGCCGGGCGTGCGCGAGGCGTGATGCCGTGTCCACCGGCCGGCCGCGCCGCTACAGACCCGCAGGATGAAGGCGTCGATGCTGTGTCCGTACAGCTGTGACTCCCCGGTCACCATCACCAGGTGGGCCACCATCAGCACCATGCAGGTGGACACGAGCAGAACCTCCGCCAGCCGCAGCGGCCAGCTGGTAAGGCACCTAGCCCGGCAGGGGCAGCCACAGTCAACGGCTTCCCCCAGGTGGTCAGCCATTTGGCCAGGCAGGGGCGGACAGTCAACGGCTTCCCCCAGCTGGTCAGACATCTGGCCAGGCAGGGACGGACAGTCCACGGCTTCCCCCAGCTGGTCAGACATCTGGCCTGGCAGGGGCAGTCACAGTCCACGACGTCCCCAGACAGTCCCACCGTTCACAGACACATTTCATCGCATTATTTCTACCGGCGGAAGGGTATAGTCAACTACCCATCCACCACAGACAACACCGAGCGACGAAACAGAGCGGCGAGCGTGCCCAGAGCACATAGGAAGCCGAGCGAGCGAGCCCAGACCCCATAAGGAGCCGAGCGAGCGTGCCCAGACCACACAAGGAGCCGGGCGCGCGTGCCCAGACCACATAAGGAGCCGAGCGAGCGTTCCCAGACCCCACACGGAGCTGAGCGAGCGTGCCCAGACCACATAAGGAGCCGGGCGCGCGTGCCCAGACCACATAAGGAGCTGAGCGAGCATGTCCAGACCCCACAAGGAGCTGAGCGAGCGTGCCCAGACCCCATAAGGAGCCGAGCGAGCGTTCCCAGACCCCACAAGGAGCTGAGCGAGCATGCCCAGACCGCATAAGGAGCCGAGCGAGCGTGCCCAGACCACATAAGGAGCTGAGCGAGCGAGCCCAGACCCCATAAGGAGCTGAGCGAGCGTGCCCAGACCACAAAAGGGGCCGAGCGAGCGTGCCCAGACCACATAAGGAGCCGAGCGAGCGTGCCCAGACCACATGGGGAGTCGAGCGAGCGTGCCCAGACCACATAAGGAGCTGAGCGAGCGTGCCCAGACCACATAAGGAGCTGAGCGATCGTATGACATTGGCGCCAACCGGCCCGGCCGCTCACCGAGCGGTTCGCTAATCTAATTTGCAGACGGCCTAGCCCTAGCCCCGAGGCAGTAAGCACGTCACGACCAGCCGGCCGCGGCACCCTGGACCGACCCCGACGGCCCTTCCACCGACCTGCGCCTCACGAGGCTGATGCGGACGTTGAGGAAGACGAAAAGGGCGCCGAGCAGGCCCAGCACGATGGCCATCAGGCCGTAAGCGGCGCCCTCGTACCCGATGGCGTCGATGCGTCCCTCGCCGAACGCGCCGAAGTCAAGCAGGCCGCTGAACAGCAGCTCACCTGCCGAAACGGGCTGCGCGTCACCGACCAGCGCTGGGGTGTGGTGACTGGGGTCGGGTTGTCGCCCCCGGAGCTGGAGTGTGGTGACTGGGGCCGAGCTGCCGCCCCCGAAGCTGGGGTGTGGTGACTGGGGCTCGGCTGCCCCCCCCCCCCCCCTCTCGGAGCTGGGGTGTGGTGACTGGGGCAGGGCTGTCACCCCCCGGAGCTGGGGTGTGGTGACTGGGGCCGGGCTGTAGCCCCCGGGGCTGGGACATTTACATGGGACTAGCAGCAGGCGCTGCGTCCACTGCAAGGGACCGACGGCCGACGCCAAGTCCGCCGTCCGGGAGCAGAGGCGGCACCGGCCACCATCACCAGACATGCCCGTCACAGTGCCACCGTCATCGAGCGCAGCCCTGACCAGCCATCACATCACAGTCAGCGGTCCAGCCAGAACGCTATGGTACGCCGATACGAGCAGCCGAGGCTCAGTTCGACGCGGCCGTTGTCATGGGAACGCCGAGAGCCGGGCCGGGCTGGACCGGCGGACAGGCGGGCGTCGCGCCGGCCGCATACCTGGGTGTCCGTACACCACGCTCAGCAGCTGCTTCAGCACCAAGGTGGCCAGGAACGAGGTGAAGAGGAAGCGCCAGAGCAGGTCCTGGTGCAGGTGGCTGGCGCCCTCCTCGATGGCGAACATCACACCGCCTGGCGGCCGGTCCCAGCGTCAGCGTGGCGGCTCGCCCCGGAGCTGCGTCCCGCCGCCCGGCACGGCTCACGACGAGACCAGGTCGCGTCGGCGGCCGCCGACTGCTGGCGGCGCGCTGGGGCCTCGTCATCGCGCAGTGCGGCATGCGGCATCACACAGGTCCACATGAAGTTTGCCGCCGTTGGGGACCGCCAGGAGCGGCACTGACACCTCGACTGTGCCCCCTCTGGCCCCACCGAGCCGGGCTTGCCTCCGGGTGCGCCTCAGACTGCCGACACTGCCCTCCCCCGGCCCCACCGAGCCCAGGCTTGTCTCCGAGTGCGCCTCAGACCGCCGACACTGCCCTCCCCCCGGCCCCACCGAGCCCAGGCTTGTCTCCAGGTGCGCCCAAGACCGCCGACACTGCCCTCCCCCGGCCCCACCAAGCCCAGGCTTGTCTCCGGGTGCGCCTCAGACCGCCGACATTGCCCTCCCCCGGCCCCACCAAGCCCAGGCTTGTCTCCGGGCGCGCCTCAGACCGCCGACACTGCCCTCTCCCGGCCCCACCAAGCCCAGGCTTGTCTCCGGGTGCGCCCAAGACCGCCGACACTGCTCTCCCCCGGCCCCACCGAGCCCAGGCTTGTCTCCAGGTGCACCTCAGACCGCCGACACTGTCCTCCCCCGGCCCCACCGAGCCCGGCTTGCTTCCGGGTGCGCCTCAGACCACCGACACTCCCCTCCCCCGGCCCCACCAAGCCCGACTTGCCTCCGGGTGCGCCGAACGCCGCTGCCACGCCGGCAGCCGTGCCGCAGGCCACGAAGTCGCGCTTCTCGTGGTCCTCCCGGAAGAACCTGCCGGCGGAGGCACACACCAACACAATGTCAGGGGAGCAGTCTGGAGCGGCGCCCGGCGGCACACACTCCCGTCCGGGGAGCGGTCTGGGGCAGGTGCCCAGCGGCACATACTGCCGTCGAGCGAGCGGTCTGGAGCGGCGCCCGGCGGCACACACTGCCGTCCAAGGAGCGGTCTGGGGCAGGCGCCCGGCGGCACACACTCCCATCCAAGGAGCGGTCTGGGGCAGGCGCCCGGCGGCACACACTGCCGTCGAGCGAGCGGTCTGGAGCGGCGCCCGGCGACACAAACTCCCATCCAAGAAACGGTCTGGGGCAGGCGCCCGGCGGCACACACTCCCGTCCAGGGAGCAGTCTGGAGCGGCGCCCGGCGGCCCACACTCCCGTCCAGGGAGCAGTCTGGAGCGGCGCCCGGCGGCCCACACTGCCGTCCAAGGAGCGGTCTGGAGCAGCGCCCGGCGGCCCACACTCCCGTCCAAGGAGCGGTCTGGAGCGGCGCCCTGTGACACACACTCCTGTCCAGGGAGCAGTCCGGAGCGGCGCCCAGCGGCACACACTCTCGGTCAGGGAGCGGTCTGGAGGGCGCCCGGCGGCACACACTCTCGGTCAGGGAACGGTCCGGAGCGGCGCCCGGCGGCACACACTCTCGATCAGGGAACGGTCCGGAGCGGCGCCCGGCGGCACACACTCTCGGTCAGGGAACGGTCCGGAGCGGCGCCCGGCGGCACACACTCTCAACGTCGGAGTCCGGAGTGGCTCAGTCGTACGATTGGGAAGTGATGGTCCTGGGTATCGGTGGCAAAATCTAGCATAGCCGACAAGGCAGTGATACACGGCATACAACCGGGCTCAACTATCATAACTCTTTTTACATCAGCAGTGTATGGTAACGGTCGGCACATTAGAACATTCGAGAAACGAAAACAAATTGACTGATTAAACATTCCAAAGTGCCTTGTGCCAACCCGGATGCCTTGTGCGGTGCTGTGGCCCTCGCCTGAGGGAGGGCAGCACTTGAAAGTGCCTCTCACTTGAACAGCGGCGTGGTGAACTTCAGCGTCGATGACTTGCCCTGGGAGAAGCCGGCCGCGATCACGGCGCCAGAGTGGATCATGGGGCCTTCCTGAGCCAGACGGCACGCTAGCGTTATCTCACGCAGTACGTTGCGACGCGGCAGACGAGCGGCAGGCAGACCAGTCAGGCCACCAGGCCGGGTCCTGTCCCGGCCCGCGACCGTGGCCGCCGCGCACAGCAGCGGGAGGGGGCGTCTTACATCCATCAATATCAAGTCGGACGCGCTCCACATCAAGCGCAATGGGTTGGAAAATGTCGCAGCCACATGTCGACTGATCCGATTGAGATATGCGCACATGCGCCCCCACATTTCTCCAGAAACAGCTCAAGCGCGCGGAAATGTTCCTTTCGCATGCACAGCCAGGTGCCTTCGAATACCACTTTTTGGAAACTTTAAGCTGCTCAGGGCTAATAAACTGCTCACAAACACACTCTCGCCCTCGCTCTCTCTTCCTCACCTTGCCGACGGGTAGACCGGCCATCACTGAGCCGTACACCCCCACCAGTTTGGCGAACAGCGTCTTGAGGCGGACGCAACGTGGGATCTTGACGCCGTTCAGGTAGCATTTGATCTGCGGAATGCCGCTGCCGATCGACACCGGCTGGCGGGCCGGCCGGCCGTCAGACACCCGCACACCCGTCAGACATCCCGCACCCGTCACACATCCCACACCCGTCAGACGCTCCCACGCCCGTCAGACGCCCGCACCGGTCAGACACCCCGCACCCGTCAGACACCCGCACACCCGTCAGACACCCCCACATCCGTCAGACACCCGCACATCCGTCAGACACCCCGCACCCATCAGCCATCCCGCACCCGTCACACATCCCACACCCGTCAGACACCCGCACACCCGTCAGACACCCCCACATCCGTCAGACACCCGCACACCCGTCAGACATCCCGCACCGGTCAAACACCCTCACACCCGTCAGACACCTGCACCCTCAGACACCCCGCACCCGTCAAACACCCCGCACACGTCAGACATCCCGCACCCGTCAAACACCCCGCACCCGCCAGACACCCGCACACCCGTCAGACACCCCGCACACCCGTCAGACATCCCGCACCCGTCACACATCCCACACCCGTCAGACACCCGCACACCCGTCAGACACCCCGCATCCGTCAGACGCCCGCATCCGTCAGACGCCCGCAACCCCAGACACCTTGCACCCGTCAAACACCCCGCACACGTCAGACATCCCGCACCCGTCAAACATCCCGCACCCGTCAGACCCCGCACACCCGTCAAACACCCCGCACCTGTCAGACACCCTGCGTCCGTCAGACATCCCGCACCCGTCAGACATCCCGCACCCGTCAAACACCCTCACACCCGTCAGACACCTGCACCCTCAGACATCCCGCACCCGTCAAACACCCCACACCCGTCAGACCCCGCACACCCGTCAGACACCCCGCACCTGTCAGACACCCTGCATCCGTCAGACATCCCGCACCCGTCAAACACCCTCACACCCGTCAGACACCTGCACCCTCAGACACTCCGCACCTGTCAAACACCCCGCATACGTCAGACATCCCGCACCCGTCAAACACCCCGCACCCGCCAGACCCCGCACACCCGTCAGACACCCCGCACCCGTCAGACATCACGCACCCGTCAGACAATCCCACGCCCGTCAGACACCTGCACTCTCAGACACCCGCAAACCCGTCAGACACCCCGCACCCGTCAGACATCACGCACCTGTCAGACATCCCCACACATGTCAGACACCTGCACCCGTCAGACACCCCGCACCCGTCAGACACCCCGCACCCGTCAAACACCCCGCACCCGTCAGACACCCCGGCAGTCATAAGACAGCCCGCTCAGCCGGCCAGACGCCATCTCGAGAGGTGATGCGGCGCTAGCGGCCGTCACGCGCAGGGCCACGCCACGAGGCGGGCAGCGTCACGTCCCACACGACAGGCGTGGCTGGTACGTCGCGCGAGCGGGGAGCACGGTGTCAGCCGGCCTCCGCGCCCGCTCGTGGTGATATTTCAGCAACAGCTGCCACGGAAAGCTAGCGCGAGCGATGGCTACCATCAAAACGATTACCTGCAGCTATGTCAACATACAAATGTCAACAGCTATGTGAACATACATACAGGGGCTAAGAAAGCTAGCGCGAGCGATGGCTACCATCAAAACGATTACCTGCAGCTATGTCAACATACAAATGTCAACAGCTATGTGAACATACATACAGGGGCTAAACAAGACCAAACCATTCACGCAACAAGGTGCAAGGCGTAATGTGCGCAACGCAGCGTAATCTCAGCATCCAACATAACCACCGACCTCCAAGTACACCATGTAGAAGGCGACGCCGCCGAAGAAGAGGTTGAAAGCCAGCCAGATGGAGAACGGGACGACCATGCAGCGCCAGCCTTCGCAGTGGTAGAGGTCTGGGCGGCGCCCGTCAAGGACATCACAAGCTTCTAATGCACTGTACATTACACCGGGAGGCCAGCAGCAAGCGTGGCCAACGCTAACGCTGTAAGATAGGGACAGGCGGCGAGCCGAGCTCAGCTGGTCGTGGAATGCTTCTTGGACAGAATATCCTACCGCTCGTACCAAACCCATCGTACGTTTGAGACGCATCAGACTCAATTCAACTAAACGCGTGCTTCTTCTGAGATCGCCACCATCGTGGAAACGTGGAAGCGGGGTCGTGGCGTCAACGGTGGCAGTGAAAGCTCCCCGCGATGGCAGTAGAGCGCGGACGGAGCGTGCCCCGGCGTCGACCCGGACGCTCCGCTCCGCCCCGGGCGGGTCGCCCAGCACTGGTCGGTAAGGATACAGTGTTTGACGAGGCTGAACTTGAGCTTGGCAGTCTGTTCGATGGCTACGCTGAGGCAGACCGCGCAGAGTGCCGTCATGGAGCCTGGTGGCACGCAGGGGCGGCGCGTCAGTGTCGTGCGGTGCAGACACCGTGGCAGGCCTGCGTCAACACGAGTTAGCCATTCTGCTCGGAGATCTCTGAATCTCGCTCTTGTTTGTTATGATTATCCCACATGTCCAATTCAGAAGGAGTTACACAACAGACCACAGTCACGTGCAGCATTCCACAGCGTGAGTAAACCATAGCTGCTTAATTAGCACAAGCACGGTACACCCTCAACTATGCGATGGGTTTCAATCTTTGTCTTTTTGGTCAGAAATGGCGAAATGCGTCGACTCAGACGCGTGGCCGAAAAGGCTCACAAGCGGATGGGCCGGGCCCGGCGGTCTACATCCGAACGGAGGGTCCGGCCCCGGCGGTCCACAGTCGAGTGGAGGGCCCGACCCCGGCGGTCCACAGTCGAGTGGAGGGCCCGACCCAGGCGGTCCACAGTCGAGTGGAGGGCCCGACCCCGGCGGTCCATAGCCGAGTGGAGGGCCCGACCCAGGCGGTCCACAGTCGAGTGGAGGGCCCGACCCAGGCGGTCCACAGTTCGGACTAACACCTACCGATGATGCAGCAAGCCAGCAGCCGGCTGATCTGTACCCAGACGGTGCCGTAAGACGAGATGATGAGCCGGTTGATGACGTTCATCTTACTGTGCACCACCTCATAGTCGAGGCTCTGTAACAAGCCGCGTCCGGGTATAGGCATCGATACGCCACAGCTCAACATCTCTTCATCTTAGATACATAAGCGTGCAAAATGGTCCGTCCGCCAACAAGAAAATGTCAAAATTGCCAGCACGCCTGATCATCTGTTTCGGTATCTCAGCAGCTCGACCACACGAGACGACCCGTCCTCAGTGACGTCACCGCGCCACATCGGCGTCCGATTCGGGTCAAGTGGCGTGGCGCGGCAACGGCGCAGCTGGCCGCGGGCGCGACCGATAGCGGGCCGTACGAGCCACACACGCCAGTCACGTGCTGCCCACAAGCCGGTCTACGCGGCGGCAGCAGACAGCTGACGCCCTCCCCCTCCCCAGCCACGGGCGATGGCAGCCTGCGCTCGCGTGCCGTGGTACGACGATGGTTGTCTGCGTCACAATTACGGGGATCGAGCCAACTAATGGCAGATAGGTAGGTATATGCCGGGGAAATGAATTAATTCGGGTGATACAGCGTATGTATCGATTGGATCGCGGCCTCTCCTGCCACTCTTTGGCGAATGAGTCTGCGGATGAGGACGTCGCCAGGATTTAACGTATGGTGGTCCGACCGATCCCAACCTAGGGGTCCAGGCAGGCGCGCTGGTAGCCAACCCAGATATTTCGATTCCCGGCGGTTATGGGCCGGCGACGCAGGCGAGACGGATCATCCACACTCGGCACCCGCACCTCGTAGGCTCCGTCGATGTAGTGTCCGGTCTTGTACTCGGTGTCGACGATGATGGGGTCTTGTGGCGGCACGGAGCGCTTCCGCCGGGGACGCCGCCTCCGACGGTCTCGTGCGGGGGCGGCCTCCGCTCCGGCCTCGGTCCCGCCGTCATTGTTCACGGAGATTGCCGCACCCTGGGTGTTGACGGTCAGCACGGTAAGCAGCAAGCACCGCACTCCGGGTGTGGGTCAGCGCGGTAAGCAGCAATCACCGCGCTCCGGGCGTGGGTCAGGGCAGTGGACAGCAAGCACCGCACTCCGGGTGTGGGTCAGGGCAGTGGACAGCAAGCACCGCTCTCCGGGTGTGGGTCAGGGCAGTACAGCAAGCACCGCTCTCTGGATGTACGTCACGACGATAGACAGCATGTCATGTGATTGGGGCTTTTACGACGCACTCAGCTGCTGAGGCTATATGGCGTCGCCTGCCTCTCACCCTGGCAGGAAGGGCGGGTACCGCGGGGAATCGAACCCCGTACCTCTGGTTTCCCAGACATGCAGTGGTTAACGCAGACGCGTTAACGTTAGTGTGGTGGTTAACGCAGACGCGTTAACCACCACACTCTCGTTTCTGTCTTTGGAAAACCTTACAGGCACTACTCATACGCGAATCTACCAACCTTATATCTCTCTTTAATTCCTTTTAAAATAATGAACATACACTTTTTACTGGATCAAAATGTGCGCCTTGTCGAGACGAATTAAATGATACCAGTAACTCCATTTCGATGAAAATGTTAGTTACGTGTTTTTGACTTTGGACGGCAGACTGTACTCTGGAAATATGTCGTAACATAACCGAAACAGGAGTGGCTAATTTTGTGACAGCTGGCACCGGCACATGAGCTCAGGCGCACAGACAAGGTTGGACCATATCCAACATGCAATACATAGGCTCAAAGAGCATCCCTCTGGCACCACCCCAAGCCCTGCAGAGTGAGAGCCTGACATTGTGCCTGAGCCAGTTGTCAGAGAAGGCTCCATCTGTGGCAGCAGTGAGAGCCATGCCAGACATGCACCTGTGACAGCAGCAGCAATGGTGCAACAGCTGATGGCAGCAGTGACAGCAGCACAGCATGTCTGTCCATGACAGAGGGCTACAAGAGTTCAGCAGTGCAGACAGCAGCCACCACCCAGCCATGTGACTGTCTCCCACCATCTGCAACAGCACAACTATCTACCTGTGTATAGCAGCAGACAGACCTGACTCATCTCAGTCCTTACTGAAGCAGCTGCAATGCTTACCTCTGCCAGAGCTGTAGCAGCACCAGCTCTGTCTCTGATGATGTCCCTGTTGCCTGAAAATGCTGCTGCAGATGGACCAGCCACAGGCAGAGGGTCCACCTCTGCTGAGTCATCCAGTGGCTGGTATGTTGGCCGTGGCATCTTGTTAGGTCAGCCACCCTGATAAAAAGATACTGTCAACTGGAGCTCAACTGTAAACCTAGATATGCTGGGATGGTGTAAGCCAGCAGTCTGTTTTTTAACACCACAAAGTTGGGCAGAATCATCACTGTATAGCCATAAGTGCTTTCTTGCACTTTGATGATCCCTTCCCACCTCACAGTTATTACTATTACAAATTATGCTTACAACATAAGTCACAACCTACAATTTTTATCTTAAACCTACAGTTGAGCAGTTTGATTAAGCATGTTCCACATTTTGGCCAATGATCAGCATAGCTCTCCCTCTGGCAGGGAAGGTACAAAAGTACCATTTGACCGGAAGTTTGAACAGTGACCAGGGATAATTATGAGATCAGGGCCCAGGAGCTCGAGCCCCTCCCCTAACTTTTTGAATGTACATGTGCCCTATGTACATTGGCTGGAAAGAAGCACCCAGAGATGGCTACTAGCCCACCAAATTTGGGAAAGGTTTGATGCCAGTGGTCAGGGTGCACTTTCCTACCTAACATTAGAAAAAATCATTGTACACCATTCGTCATGTTTAAGGCAGGACATATCGTAAATAATCACAAAACAGGTAGAATCATGCTCCTACCTTCGAATTTCAATAACTTCGATGGCGGACTCCCGAGCGCCGCGCGCACCGCGCTGCGTGGACTCCCCAGCGCCGTTTTTGCGTTGCCGTTGCGTAAATACAATATTTCTGCTTACCAAGAACTCTACAAAATGTACGGGACCAAGGTAAACCATTCGTCGTGTTTAAGGCAGGACATATCGTAAATAATCACAAAACAAGTAGATTCATGATCTTACCTTCAATTTTTTATAATTACGATGGCGAGCTCCTGAGCGCCGCACACACACAGCACCCGCGGCACCCGCGCCATTACTGCGCGGGTCACAACATTACTGCGCATCAAGCAGCATCAAGAACCATACAAATGTACCGGGCCAAGGTAACAAGAATCCATGAAATTTGATCCTCGACGCCAACGGGACCATGGGTTGCAGGGGGATTGGGTGGGGAATGTAAAGCAAAATGAGAACATGGCAGCTAAATAAAAGCTCACTATATGGCACCTATATATGGCATGGAACATGGACGCCAATGGGACGCTGGGTTGAAGGGGATATAGGGTGGGGAGGTTAGGTTAGGTTAGGTTAGGTTAGGTTAGGTTAGGTTAGGTTAGGTTAGGTTAGGTTAGGTTAGGTTAGCTTAGCTAAGCTTAGGTTCTGGTCTATTCTTAGGTTAGGTTAGGTTAGGTTAGGTTAGGTTAGGTTAGGTCAGGTTAGCTTAGCTTAGCCTAGCTTAGGTTCTGGTCTATCCTCAGGTTAGGTTAGGTTAGGTTAGGTTAGGTTAGGTTAGGTTAGGTTAGGTTAGGTTAGGTTAGGTTAGGCTAGGCTAGGCTAGGCTAGGCTAGGCTAGGCTAGGCTAGGCTAGGCTAGGCTAGGCTAGGCTAGGCTAGGCTAGGCTAGGCTAGGCTAGGCTAGGCTAGGCTAGGCTAGGCTAGGCTAGGCTAGGCTAGGCTAGGCTAGGCTAGGCTAGGCTAGGCTAGGCTAGGCTAGGCTAGGCTAGGCTAGGCTAGGCTAGGCTAGGCTAGGCTAGGCTAGGCTAGGGTAGGCTAGGCTAGGCTAGGCTAGGTAGGCTAGGCTAGGCTAGGCTAGGCTAGGCTAGGCTAGGCTAGGCTAGGCTAGGCTAGGCTAGGCTAGGGCTAGGCTAGGCTAGGCTAGGCTAGGCTAGGCTAGCTGCTAGGCTAGGCTAGGCTAGGCTAGGCTAGGCTAGGCTAGGCTAGGCTAGGCTAGGCTAGGCTAGGCTAGGCTAGGCTAGGCTAGGCTAGGCTAGGCTAGGCTAGGCTAGGCTAGGCTAGGCTAGGCTAGGCTAGGCTAGGCTAGGCTAGGCTAGGCTAGAGGCTAGGCTAGGCTAGGCTAGGCTAGGCTAGGCTAGGCTAGGCTAGGCTAGGCTAGGCTAGGCTAGGCTAGGCTAGGCTAGGCTAGGCTAGGCTAGGCTAGGCTAGGCTAGGCTAGGCTAGGCTAGGCTAGGCTAGGCTAGGCTAGGCTAGGCTAGGCTAGGCTAGGCTAGGCTAGGCTAGGCTAGGCTAGGCTAGGCTAGGCTAGGCTAGGCTAGGCTAGGCTAGGCTAGGCTAGGCTAGGCTAGGCTAGGCTAGGCTAGGCTAGGCTAGGCTAGGCTAGGCTAGGCTATGTTCTGGACTATTCTGGCCTGTGTGTTTCATAAATGTACCTAAACCTGATAAGAAACGAATTTGGTTGCTTTATTAGTGTTACCTTGGTCCCATACATGTTTTATGGTTCTTGATAAGCAGAAATATTGTGCTTTCGCAACAACGCAGAAACGGCGCTTGGGAGTCGAGGCGGTGCGGTGCGTGCGTGCGGCGCGCTCGGGAGCTCGCTATCGCTATCGTATTTATTAAAATTCGAGGGTAGGAGCATGATTCTATCTGTTTTGAAATTATTTACGATGCGTTCCGCCTTAAACACGACGAATGGTTTACCTTGGTCCCGTACATTTTGTAGAGTTCTTGGTAAGCAGAAATATTGCATTTACGCCACGGCAACGCAGAAACAGCACTGGGGAGTTCAGGCAGTGTGGTGTGAGCGTCACGCTCGGGGGCCCGCCATCAACGTTGTTGAAATTTGAAGGTAGGAGCATGATTCTACCTGTTTTGAGATTATTTATGATATGTGCCGCCTTAAACACGACGAATGGTGTGCAATGATTTTTTCTAACATTAGGTAGGAAAGTACACCTACACCAAGAAATAGAACATGCCTACAAAATTTTGATTAAGACCCCAACCTAGGTACCTACACAAATATTTTCACTGACCCAGTCACCTAACCATACACCAAATTGTGTAACTTAATCATCAATGCTGTCGCTTGTGTAACTTCAATGTGAATGTGCTCTGACCTTGCAGAGAAGAAGCACTAAATATATCACATAGAATGCACAGAACTGATTCAAAGATAGCAATTACACTCCCAGCATTTTTTGATGCTTAGCCACTGGACAGGGGTAGGCCCAGCCTTGGCTAGGCCAGTCTAAGGTAAGCTACCGGGTAAACAAGGCTATACCCCCCTGGGCTACAATAAGTAACCCAAGAGGATTTTACCCAAGCGCAGCGAACAGCTTTGAGATTGGAAGCCCTTACCATGGATGTGTCTATTATTCATACGCCACTATTCCCAGCAAGCAAGCGTTTTGTCTCTTGCGTATAAAAACAACAATCGCATGAGGTTTCAGCTGGCTTGGTATAATACTCGTCTGGTAGATATACTGCGCAGTGTAACGAACTACCAACTAAAGTTGTAAAGGAATAAGGCCCTTAAAGTATAGAGCTTAGGCAAAACGCCGATGTTCGAGAGTGCGTATTCGAACTATTTTCCCTTTTACCTGGAACCGGGAGCAATGTTCCACAAAAGGAGTGCGGGGGGGGGGGGGAAAGGGCTGGGTAGCTATTTTTGACAAATAGGTCTATATCTCTCTCGCTCTTTGAATACACATGTTCTGCATTTCTCGGTTGTTTAGCACTGCCTGGTTACGTCCACCTACCAGTCTGACCAATTAGTTTGTTACTCATGAGTTTGTGAGGTGTGACGCCATATGCGTGCATACACTGACGAAGTATTTCGTTCGGATGGCATCACCTGTCGTGGGTGCAACCGGAGGGCCAGTTAGGGCAACGGTGAACAGCATATACAACTGTCGTGGGTATAGCATCACCTGCCTTGGTCGTATTGCCTTTCAACTTGGTAGTATATCGCCTCGGTTGATAGCCTGTTACGCTACCCAGCGTGTGCCCAGCATATCTACCAAACAAGTTTCCTACCAGGCCAGCTGGGTCTCATCCGAGTGCTGTAGTTTTTAGGCAGAGTATTGCACAAGCGTGGGCTTTGTGTTGTGGTTTGTGTACCGCCCAAAGCCTTGTTACATTTGTTGCGTGTTTGTTGCGTTGGAGCTGCATCGCCCCGCAGGTTGCACCGTTGCTCTGATTGAATTAAACGCAGAGGATGATTTGTTAGTTGATCGCAGTTGCTGCCGTGGTCTGAAGCCGGAGAAGCAATGGATCTTGATAACCTCAAGATTGTGGTGATAGTAGTTCTGCTCTTTCTGCCGTTGTGCTTCACATTGCTGCCTTTGAAGTTGATTTCTTATGTGGAACATGCGGATGGTTCACGTAAACAAAGGTAAATTTGCAACTCATCCTACTGTGTTGGCATTTGTGGGGATGTTGAGAGAAATGGGCTTTTATGGTGGGGGAACTGTCATATAAGCATTATCAGTATCTATTTGTTAAGCAGCACTTATTCAATACAAGTTTTTGTGTGACTGAAAGTATGATATTGGATTCTCTATTATATGTGTGCTTGATTTTGACATGTGCTTGATTGATATGACTTGATATATGTGCTTGATCATCAGCTAAGGCCTTGGCAGCAGTTGGCTGAAATAGTTTCCACCTGAATGACTGTAACAGTCTACCAAACAGCTTTTACCAGTTTCAATCTCAATCATATCTCTGCCTAGATATGATATATTTTCTATGGTTGCGCAAGGCACCATGCTGTGGGGAGAATCAAACACAATGGATATCAATATATGTCATGCAGTGAAGGTGGCTGTGCAGAGATGTCTGGTGACTGATAATTGAACCATAACTCTAAAGCACCATGCACATAAATTTTGGGGCAGAATTGAGCACTTGCATATCTGGCTTGAGCCTGAACTTTACTTTTTGCATTCTGAACCTGCTCCCATGAGCCATGATAACAGGAATGTTGTGCACAACCCTTAGAACATGCAGATTTATAATGGTATGCTTTACATTGAAAAGGTATCATTGTATGATACATATATGATCACGGTTTTGCAGGGCTGAGGAATTCGTGCAAATTCTATTTGGCAGGTCTGGCTTTGACTGACTGGTGTGACTGTATTTCAGACTGTACCGGATGCTAAGTCTCCTTAACTGCTTCTCGGGTGGTGTGTTCCTGGGAGCATGCCTGCTGGACCTGTTCCCTGATGTGAACAGCTTGATGGGCAGCATCATGGACCGCATCGGCTCCACCGTGACGTTCCCCGTGGCTGAGTTCACTGTGGTGATGGGGCTCTTCCTGGTGCTGCTCATCGAGGGTGTGGTGGCGAGCTGCCATGGGGATGGTGCCGATGGTGCCGACACCGAGCCGCTGCTCAGCACGCCCCCTGTGAACTACGGCTCGGCAGACCACGGGCAACTGGAGGCCGACCGCACCGTCGCCGCTGACGCCGACGCGGTCAGCGGCCACGAGCACGGCCACGGCCACGGCCACGAGCACTTGCCGTCGGGCCAGGCGGGTATCCGCTCGTTGCTGCTGGTGATCGCGCTCTCGCTGCACTCGGTGGTCGAGGGTCTGGCCATCGGGCTGCAGGAGAGCAGCGACCTGCTGCTGCAGATATTTGCCGCCGTCGCCATCCACAAAGGTGTGCTCGGCTTCTCGCTGGGCATGAGCCTGGTGCGAGACGGCTCGCTCTCGGCCGGCTCCATGCTGACCTCGGCGTTGGTCTTCTGTGGCGCCTCTCCGCTCGGCGTCGGCATTGGCTGGGCCGTCACCGACGCCGGCAACTCGTTAGCTGGCGACGTGGCCAACGCCGTGCTCCAGGGAATCGCGTGTGGCACCTTCCTCTACATCATCTTCTTCGAGGTTCTGCCGCACGAGTTCCGCACTAGCGAGGACCGCTTGCTGCGCATCCTGTTCGTGGTCGTCGGCTTCGCCGTTGTCTGCGGCGTGCTCTTCCTCGACCCGGATGTGCAGACGCCGAGATGCGTGAACCCGTGACGCTGGGTCATGTCATGACCCTGGGTCAGGTCAGCCCGTGACCGGGTCAGGCGGCAGCGGTGCTCGATACCGGTCAGCGTCTGATGTGGTATGCCTTCAGAAGCGTGCCCGTGTCACCATCACCGTGTTTGTTTAATGCTCCTTGCGAAGAACGGTGTGTACATTTGCGTTACCTAGTGCATTATTTTTCACTTACGCGTGATACGGGACGGTAAAGGCGATTTTGTTGACGAACAAATCACAACAGTCCTAAGTGAAGTCATCTCGGCTGTGTGGGTGTCCTCCTGTCATTACCCACACGACGCCGCTCTTGAGTCATGTTCCGCCTCAGTGCCGAGTCACGCGCCCAGAATACCCCGGCGGGCTGCCCGACGCCACGCGAACCGCGCCGCCCCGGTACCGCTCCGTCTATTTATAGCCATCAGGTGTCGTAACTTGCATGCTTACCTGAATGACGTGCTGCTCCGTGACCGGGCCGCAAGTGAATGACAACCTCATGGGCAGGGTGATGTGCCTGGGCTCGTAGTGTCAGGTCCGGTAGGCACCTGGTGCGTGCCAGCAAAGGTCTGCAGCCGCCTGGCGCTGCGCGGCAGGCGTACCTCGCGTCTGAAACGACTTTATTGGTCATCTGTGTAAGCGCTTGTCAAATGTATTACCACTGCTCGTGAATTTGAGGTCATGTAGCTAGACGAAGTGTTATGGAGCAAACCGTGAGCGCACTTAATGTTCGCGGTTAAATCGCACAATACGTGAAGAAGTTGTACGAGCGCCAGACATACTCGATCCTTGTTTGTGTGATCATTAAAGCCTACTTGCATGCTGGGTTTACGTTTCCGGGGTTCCACGTTACTCATAGCTTTAGTCGTGCATCGTTCGCAATGTACTGAAATTCCTGTGGTTTTCTGCACCAAGCATTGCGACAAAGCTGAGCTGCCAGTGCGGACGCTGACTGACCACTTCCTTCAGTCGGTGCTTGTCATCGTTCTGGCCGACCGCCCTTCCCGGGGCCGGCAATCGTATATGTCCAATATTACCTATCGGTGTGATGGCTGTGATAGCATGCTGGGTCTGAAGGGAGGCAAATACATATTTTCAGCTGTATCCATGGGCAGTTGCATCATAGATCTGGATGCATCGATGATGGATTGGGACAGCTTAACAATCGTAGTTTGAGCTTAAAGCGTAGATGTTTTCGGCATACCCGTGACTGATTTGGAATACTGACGTCAGGTTTTCTTGGCACTCATAATTTTGCACCGCTCGGTCCTTCGTATGCCACTGTGCCGTGACGTGCATTCGGCATGGCGAAGCTAAGTTCCCAGCGTTACTGCATGACGGTTCGCCTAAAGTGAATACTTTTCTGTCGTGCGGATATTTTTAGGGCAGATGGTCTATCTAAACGGGCGGGTTTCTGGGAACGTTGAGCGCACGGCGTGGCCCCGGGCTCCGTAAAAAGTGTGCCCGGCGGGCGTCAGATGTCACAATTGTGCTGAGTGCGTCATATTTGTCGACGACAATCGCCCATCTACATAGGATATGACATCTCCCGTATAAGCCAGGGCAGCGATGCTGGGAATTATGCAAGAGAGGACTGCTTTATGATTTGTCCACAACTCTGCCCGCGCGAATGCCATGTTTTGATACGTAACCAAGCCTGTTTTAATCAGACGTAAGTGGTGCTGACAGGCTGTTTTAGCTGTGTTTGCCACATACTGGTAATATCCTTAGTTATATGCTGACGCCGGTGGCAGCGTTTCTTCGCACAATTGAGCCCCCAGTCCTTCGCTCCAAGTCTGCGATTATGTGCCGCATTTTCCCAGCGCTTTGCTATTTCGGGTATGGCCATTTTGTTCGCTATTTGCCACGAACTATTTGGTTTACAGATCTTACGAATTACAAACTCCTCACTAGCGAGTGTGCACAAGCCCAAAGCTATCCCGTTTCACGTCAGCTACTGTCATTTTCTTGATGGTAGTTGCGCCGCATGGTGGTCAAAGGTTGTAAATTACGTAGGTTGTTCAATGCGTTTGCGAGGAACATTATTCGCATGGCTAAGACAGTAGCAACAGTGTTATTCCTTGGAGAAAAACAGCAGCTACCTATCTAACCCATCTTTGCGTTCTTGCGTTAACATGCCCCTGGTAGTCACCGGTGTCGATCCTCAACAGTGTTTAAGAACTAAGAGCAGTGGTTCGCTAGCCCATCCACCAGCCACACACACAAACGTGTGCATGGCCGGTTCGCGATGTCCGTTAAGTTAACATTGATTCAGCGATTAATTCAGTGTCGAGTTCCGATTTCTCTGAAAAAGGTTTGTAGATCAATTATGGCACGAGAACATCGAAAATGACCTTTATTTTGCAATATCATGTGGCCTTCGAGGCCAAAAGCTGGGTCAGGGGACGAGGAACTCGTTGTCACCAAAAAATTACCGGCTGATTTGCAAGCTGCAAACATTAAAATAGTCACGAGCGGAAGAGCTAGGATCTGTCAAAAAGTCCTGACCTTTCAAGGTCACCCAAGATCAAACGCGGGCTCAAAGGAAGGGAGACTCAATATCACCCCAACATTACAGGCCGATTTGAATACTGCAAGCATCAAAGCATTTACAGGCGCAAGAGCCTCGTCCGTCAAAACGTCCTGACCTTCCAAGGTGACCCTTCAAGGTCAAACTCGGGCTCAAAGGCTGGGAACTCAACATCATCCAAAAATCACCGGTTGTTTTTAAACTTAAAATGATGTCAGAATATTCACCACAGAAAAAACAAGCGTCCGTCAAAAAGTCATGACCTCCCAAGGTCACCCTTCGAGGTCAGATGTGGGCTGGGCGTCACGTCATTGGGGCTTTACGATGCACCCAGCTGCTGAGACTATATGGCGTCGCCTGCGTTTCACCCTGGCAGGAATGGTGGGCTCGCTTTGAATCGAATCCCGTGCCTCTGGTTTCCCAGAAAATGCGGTCTCGAGGGATGGAGGAAGTTTACATTACCCAAAAACTACCGGCCAATTTTGAAGTAACAAACATGAGAATACTCAGTACAGAAAGGACTAACGTCCGTCAAACAGTCCTGGCCTCTCAAGGTCACCCTCCACAGTCAAACGTGGGCTCAAAGGACGGGGAACTCAATATCACCTAAAAATTACCGTCCAATTTTAAACATCCAAATATTAGAATATTTGCCACAGAAAAAACTAGCGTCCGCCAAAAATCTGACCCTTCAAGGTCACACTTTAAGATTAAACACAGACTCGAAGAAAGTAAAACTCAATATCACCCAAAAATTAGCGGCCGATTTGAAAACTGCAAGCATTAAGACGCTCACAAGCGCAAGGGCCACCGTCCGTCAAAATGTCCTGATCTTCCAAGATGACCCTTCAAGGTTAAACGTGAGCTTAAAGGATGAGAAACTCAATATCACCAAAAACCACTGGTCGATTTTAAACTTGCAAATCCCAGTATATTTCGCACAGAAACAACTAGCGTCCGTTAAAAAGTCCTGACCTCTCAAGGACACTCTTCAAGGTCAAATGCGGACTCGAAGGACGGATGAATCCTATGTCACCCAAAAATTACCAGCCAATTTTAAGCCAGCAGATATCAGAATATTCATTATAAAAAGAACTAGCGCCCGTCAAACAGTCCTGACCCCTCAAGGTCACCCTTCAAAATCAAAGGTGGGCTCAAGGAACGGGGAGCTCAATATTACACAAAGCTACGGGCCGGTATTAAACTTCAAAATATCAAAATATTAACCACAGAAAGAACTAGCGTCCGCCAAAAAGTCCTGACCTTTCAAGTTACCCTGCAAGGTCAAACGCGGGCTCAAAGAACGACAAACTCAATATCATCCCCAAATTATCGGCTGATTGTAATCTTGCAAACTTCAGAATATCCAACGCAAAAAGAACTAGGGGCCATCAAAAAGTCCTGACTTTTCAAGATCACCCTTCAAGGTCAAACGCGGGCTAAAAAATGGTAACTTAATATTATTAAAAAATTACTAACCGATTTTGAACTTGCAAAGGTCAGAATATTCACCCAAGAAAGAGCTAGCGTCCGTCAACAAGTCTTTGCTTCTCAAGGTATCCTTCAAAGTCAAACGGGGGCTCAATGGAAGGGGTACTCCACATCACGCAAAAATTGCGGACCGATTTTAAGCTTGCAAACATCAGAATATCCAACACAGAAAGAACCAGCTTCCATCAAAAAGTCCTGACCTCCCAAGGTCACCCTTTAATGTCAAGCGCAGGCTCAGAGGACGGGAAACGCGATATTGCCCAAACATTACCGGCCGATTTTAACCTTACAGTTGTCGGAATATTCACCACAACAAGAACTAATGTCCGTCTAAAAGTCCTGACCTTTCAGCACCACACTTAATGGTCACACGCGGTGTCAAAGGACGGGGAACTCAACATGGCAAGAAATTACCGGCCAATTTTAAACTTGAAAGCACCAAAATAATAACATGTTCAAAAGCTGGCGTCCGTCGAAACGTCCCGACCTCACAGGGTCAATGTCAAGTGCAGGCTCAAACGACGGGAACGATCACTAGCGCTCAAAAAATTTTGCCCGAACTTTAACTTCCAAAAATCAGAATAGTTCACACATAAACAGTTATCGTCTGTCAAAAATGTCTGAATTCTCAGTTCTCAGTCACCCTTCAAGGTCAAACTCCGGCTTAGAGGACGGGGAAGTTCACATGACCCAAAAATTCATCACAGAAAAAACTATCGTCCGTTAAACTAGTCCCGTTTGTTGATCCCGCGTTTGACTTTGAAGGATGACCTTAAGAGGTCAGGACTTCTTGACGGACACTAGCTCTTGCGTTTGTAAATTTTTATGCTTGCAGGTTGCAAATCGGTCGGTTTTTTGTGATATGAGTTCCCTGCTCTTTGACCCAGCTTTTGACCCCGAAGGTCACATCATATTCCAAAATAAAGGTCATTTTCGATGCTCTTCTGGCATAATTCAGCTCCAGACCTTTTTCAGGGAAATCGGAATTCGTCACTACATAAATCGTTGACCAAATCGCCAACTTCACGGACATCGGTTCGCGCTGCATGTCATTCACTGGTGAATACACCGTAATGCGCTGCCTAGTATCTCCGTTTGAACGATTCGGACCCAAGTCGTCCGCTTGTTAATTCATTGCGGATTGCTGAATGCATTAACGTGTATTCTTGGCTTTGTTACCAATGTGCTACGAGAGTTAAAGCGGATATGGGGTGTGATACACTACGTACAAAACAAACTACTGATGGCGGTTTCTTAGCAGGCTTCGTCTGCGTAGATCTCGATGGTAAATATTCCATCTTCGGAACACACAGCAGACGTCACACCACACAATATATTTTGCAGAACACTATTGCAGCACCGATTGCAGCATGTGATGTGTAAAGACAGGTTCAGGTACAGCATGACAGTCTGTAGATGGTAGCGCACAGGAGTTCATCCGTCCGATATCACTTTCGAATGACCTGGACAATAAAGACAAGACACAGGATAAAACAGCAGCACGGCCTTTATGGAATCATGACGAATGTGTGTGCCACGTCGTCAAAACTAGCCACCTGTAAGACGATCGTGAATCGAGCTCTACACCTAAAATGCCACATAAGGGTGCATGCTCCACATAATGATTCGAGAGAGCAGTATGGATCCCAGGCATAGTAAGGAATATTGTGCATTGTTGCAAAAGCCTGTTTCCAGCCACAGTCCCAGGAACCGACGGTAAAATGCCCTTTCTGCAGCGCTACGGCAATACGCAACGTCGCCATCCTGTATTTCCCTCCTCTGAAGTTTATTTTACCACTGTTATCAGCCAAGCCTACCGTAACAGCGAACGTGGATGTGACACTCAACACATCTAAGGTAAGATAACATCTAAACATGCTTCATCCCTAAGAAACGGGCAAGTTATGTCCACACCCCAATGGCACTGGAATGTACATTCCTCTCACACCTTAACCACGCATTAAAACGGAACCGTAGTTCTCATCCCAAAACCTTCCACACTTTTGTATCCTAACGACTAGAAGCTTTGCATCGAGCCGAAGCATCTTGTCACTCGGCTGCATCACGTTCACGACCACGGTTCAGCCGATACCTAAGCTAGCCAGCCGTCTCCAGAGCTAGAGGACGTTGGCGGACTCCGGCGTCTTTCTTGGTGCTGCCTCTGGCCGTTCTCTTCGTGTCGCCTCCAGCGGTTCTCTTCGTGCCGCCTCCGGCGTATCTCTTGGTGCCGACTCCGGCGTCTCTCTTGGTGCCGCCTCCGGCGTCTCTCTTGGTGCCAACTCAGGCGTCTCTCTTGGTGCCGACTCCGGCGTCTCTCTTGGTATCGTCTTTGGCGTCTCTCTTGCTGCCGCCTCTGGCGCGTCCGCTCCTGCCAATAGGTCCTGGGCCGACGCGAACCGCTCGATCAGCCGGTGCACGGGGTCGGCTGCCGCGGCCGCCACCGGAGACCGACTCTCGGCCAGCAGGTCCTGGGCGGAGACGAACCGCTCGAGCACGGCGGCGGCACGCTCTGAGGCCGGAGGCGCAGCCGCCAGCGGCCAGCCGGCGCCAGACGGCCCCGGGTTCGACCCGCCGCCGCTGCCGGCCGCGCTCGGTCCCGCTCCG